AAATATTCTTCTAACTCCAATTTTGTAAGCTTACCTTTTGTAGAAGACTATGGTATATTTGGTGTTTAATTCACTGGAATATAATATGCTTTCAAACAAACTTGAACCAATATTAGACCATTTTCCTTTGCAGTGTTTGTCAGTCTTGCGTGAGTTTTTGTTGTTAACGTATTTAAGAGTATACTTGCAAAGGCAAAATATATTGTGGGTGCTTTATGTTGGAGAAGATTTTGGCTGGAGAACAGGTAGTATAGTATGCACATATAGCTTTTTCAGGTTTAATTGGCTTGGTGATATGCTTCCCGGGAAAGAAAAATCAACACAACTCTTGTAAAAGATCAAAAAAAATATCAAATATAAAATGTGTAATAGAACATAATAGAGAAAATAGGAGGCAATTCTGTCAAGACTATATAAGAAATGAAAAATTGCATGGCTAGTTCATATTTTATGGAACAGTTCATATTGCAATACTTTTGTGCATGGCTTTTGTATTACTGTCTTCTAATTTCTCCATAATCATTATTTGCCTCCAGAAATAGTATGCGTGTAGGTTAAGAGTACAGTACTTTTACATCTGTTCAGTATGCTTGATCTCAAATGTTAGGGAAGAATGTGATGCATAAACAAAAATGAAAAAGGTTATTCCAGAAAAATGTGGAGTTTCAACCTGCCCAGTACTGACTGTGTTTTGTTAGTTGTTACAGGTTTTGTCCTCTTCCTTGAAGCACATAAAGATCAGGAATGTTGAGCAAATAGCAATGAAAGTGTACTGAGGCATTAACAGGGCAGCAACTTGTGCTCATTACAAGTGCTCCATAGGCAGGAAATGAAGGACAGTGGCAAAGGACCGCAGCCACGTCAGTGTGACAGAAATGGAGCCAGTTCCCTACTGGATCAATTCATCTGTGGAACTACTGGGCAAGGGAGAGAGGCAGCCTGAAAAATTAAGGGTTTTGGTAAGAATTTTTTAATGCTTCCAAAGGGCTATTTATAACAAAAAATAAGCCAGCTCTCTACTGTTTATTACCAATAAAAATGGGATTGTGCCATTTGGAAGAGGGGCAATGCAAACAGAACATAGGAGGACACTTAGGCTCTGATGGTATTTGGAGTTCCACAGTAATTTTCAAGATGAATGCCAACAAAGGGACTTAAGAATTACAGGTGGGAAAAAGAGATATCATTAAAAAGAAAGAAAAAGTAATTAATTTACAACATTATCATTAAAATTTTATACATTTAAAATTAGTCATAAATAATGTGTTGCTATCTTAAAGGTAGAGCATATGGTATGTCTAAGAAGCCAAACTTCTAGTGGTGTCTTTTGGGAAATGTTAAAAAATGGAATTCCAGAATGCCTGACTGGACCAGTAAGGGAGAAAATAGTGCGTCATTGGATGCATCCATCATGCTAGGACTGTGATGGGGAATACTCCTAACGAGAAAATAAATGAGGGGGGAAGAAGAAGAGAGAGGAGTAGTGCTTGTTTCTGGGTAGAAACAGTTCTTCCTGACTGTTACACCAGCTTGAGAGGAGCAGAGAACCAGAAGGGCCCTTGGTGAAAACATGCTGTTTGGCACTGAGCCTCACGCTGTCCGTGAGGTGTGTGCTGTGCTGGGGGGCCAGGGCTGTGCCGCTGTGGGGTCCTGGCAAGCACAGGCACCTCTGTGCTGCAGGTGACATGGCACGGAGAGAGGGAGGCGATGGAAGCGGGAAGTGGCAGTGCCTGGCTTCGCCAGCGCTTCCGTGGCACCACAAGAAGGCTCGTGGTAGGCCTGGTCAGTGAGCCTGGCCTAGTGGAGGCTGGCTGGGGTGTGAGGGAAGTGAAGGGGGTGCTAGAAATGAACCAGTGGGTGGACACAGAGGAATGAGTAGTTTCTGCAGAGGGTTGTTTAAGGAGAGGAGAAGAAAATTTTGAATGCTGTGTGAGAGACGAGTGGCTCGTCTGGGTGTCGTGTATGTTGCAGGAGACCAGCTTTGGCGTTCTGGTATTTGTTGTCTTGTTTTTCAAAAAGTTTTGCAATTATTTAAAATTAGCTGTGTCAATATCGATTTTGAACTTGAACTGAGATGAGATACACTCAGCTGAAAACCGTTATTCCTCTTTGAAAGTAAGGTGTGGAAAGCAGATTTCTTTGAGTCAATTGCTGTAGGAGCAAGTGGACCTCTGGACATGGGGGATTTGTGTTTTAGAGGAAAGAAAACAGTAAATTCACGGGGGCTTTACTTCTTCCAGGTGTGAAGTGCCGTGTATAATAGGGCATAAAATTAACTTAATGATCTAAAGATTTACTTACAAAACCATTTTTTTTCCCTAACTTGACAGGGGTGGATATTGTAGGTCATAGTATACGTCTGATGATTGCAAAATCCTTTACTATCCCTTTGAGATTTTTTATAAAAGACTGTGCTGAATCTGAATAATAGCCTAATAAATAGATTAGTTAGAACAATAGTCCTCTTGAGGATGTTTGATTCTGAGTGTAGCTGCTAGAGATAACCCTAAATGCAATTAGGCTTAACTCCCTGTGAGTGTCAGAGCAGGGTAATACCCATAGAGACTTCCCTTCAGATGACACTAAAAGTATCTCAACATTTAAATAATTCTTTCCTTTGGGCATTGGTAGCAAACTTTTTTTTTTTTTTTTTTTTTTTTTTTTTAATAATTATTGGAGAAACAGAGCTTGGAAACTTATTTTTGTGACATTAGTTTTAGATGTTTCACATCAAAAAGAGGGATGATGGCTCAGCTTCCTTGGGGGAACAGTTGTCATCCTCATCTGTGCTCTTTGTAATTGTAAGGATCAAATATCCCAAGGTGGCCACAGATAGGGAAAGAGAGAAAATAACAGACTTAGTAACATACACAAGCTTCTAAAGGGCAATGTGATAAAATGTCAGTCAACATTCTCTTGATGGATTAATTCTGTTTTTTTCCTCTTGAAACAGAAATGAAAGTAAAACTGTTGAAATGAAAATCAAGACATTAAAGACTTCAAAAAAATGCATATTGTAGAGCATAATATAGCAGAAACTGTAGAACTAAAAACATTTTAATTTTATGGACCACAGAAGAGAGGAGCTTCTTGAATCAATTCTGTGCTTTCCATTTTGATACCTTCCTACTTATCTTTTTACTCAAAATACGTATATATATATATATAATGTGAAAGTAAAATACAAATATATATATATATAATATGAAAGTATTCAGTGTAATATTTGGTGGAAAATTCCTAGTAACATCAAAATGATGAAATTTGTAATGAATTGTTTTGGTAGTTACCAAAGTTCTTATATCAAGTCATTGTACTCTGCACTTTGTGTATCTCTGGTTCACTTATTTGTAGTATTATTTTTCAGTGAAGAGATCCTGAAAATCTCTTATTTTCCTTCCTTGCTGTTAAATCAAAAGTCTGTACCATCAAAAGTTAAGCTGAGCTAATGAGATATGAGCTAAAACACCTGAAAATGATTTACAATCACACCACATTAAACTTTCATTTCATGTGTGGCAAGGAGGCATTTAGACAGGTTAGTAAACTGTCTGTTTTTTATTGTTGGTAAAGGTGTAACTTGTCCCTTAAAATTACAATTTACCCTGAAAGCCAGCAATGTAAAACTGAGAGCCAGAATTCTTTGACAAGATTTCTGTGTAGTCAGGTTAGGTCAGAAACATTTATGCTCCTCCAAAATAGCTAATATGTTGTCTTACATCTTTTACATGTGAAGTATTACTTCTGTTTTTCAGGCATCTGTTTTTATAGCTTTGTGTCAAGATATTGTGTTTTTTGTTGTTGTTGATGGTTGTTTTTTTTTTTCCTCCTTCCAAGTAGTAAATTACTGTGGTATACAGAACATGTTTTCAGTGCTGATTCTAGTGATTCCTGGGTGCAAGATTAAATTATTATCCTATTAATTAAGCACTTGGACCTGGGATGCACCAAGTAAAATAATTTCCCAATGAAGCCTTAAAGAAATGAGAATTGAAGTGACCATACATTAATTATTAGGCTTCTTGTCATAATGGTTGTTGTAAGGAAATTCATGTAAATATATAAAAAATAGGTTTTATGTCCTATTTTCTACCTCTGGAAACTATTGGTTTTTATTTTGAAATTCAGTGGTATTTTTCAATGCATTTTGTGCTTTTCAAATGTAAGAGAACCTCATAATGGCTTCATTTTCAAAATCCAGGTTAATTTAAACTAACCGTACACTAGGAAGCTTTTGTTTTGTTTTGTTTTTTAGTCCAAAAGAAAGGCAGTTAAAAATTAAGTATTTTTTTTCTTACCTATGTTAAAACCTGGCTTCCTAAAACTGGGGAGTTTTTATGAGACAATGAAAAAAGATTGCTGACCTTGCTGCACTGCAGTTTCACTGGTTCATGTCTGGTTGCAATAGAATGAGCCTGATTTTGTTGCCAGTGAATGTGAAAGTCATCATGCTGCTGCAGTAAACTTGATCTAAGAAGTGCTTTGTAACAGCTGAAAGTCTGTTTTCCAAATGTATCATAAAAGACTGCATTAAGATAATCAAACTGATCTTTTTAAGAGGAATATAACATGTTACATTACTGATTAATAAATAATACACTGAAAATAGCATATTATGATCTTAAATACTTACTGTACAACAGGCATGGAAAAGTCTTATGGACTTCAGGTTAACTTTTAATGCATGTGCTGTATACAGATTTGTATGTGTTGTCCATTTGCATAGCTAATGATACTGACACTGAGTTTATGTACATCCTAAAAGCAACATTTCACCAGTAATATTGCATCTCTACTCATTTTGCTTCTGTATGTGTCAGATATCAAGGATAAATTTCTGTCTCTAGATCATAATGAGTACTGTATTTTTCTTATTCAGAGATGTATTGGGTGGGAGGAGGTGAACCATTCAAATGGCTGTATTACACCAAAGCTGAACAAAATGGAAGAAAAAGAGGAAAAGAGCCATCTCTAAAATGCATTTGTTTTATTTCATTTAGATTTTCACACACACCTTTCTGAGAAATTGAAAGACAGACAGACAAGCTGGCAGCAGCTGGCTGAGCCAAAGAACTCTCTAATACGTAAGGTTTTTATCTTGCTTAAACTGTATTCCTTGTAAACTTAGAACCTAGTTTAGATTTTGTGGGTTTTGCAGTGATTGCTGTAGTTCTGTTTATCTTCTGCTTTTTAAGTATTTTGGGATTGTTTTTTGTTCGTTTGTTTGTTTGTTTTGTTTTGTTTTGTTTTCCTTATGAGTGTTTCTATTCTGTTGGATACATGTGGTCTCCCTCTACTACTTGTTTCTCTTCCATTTTTGAGTATTACCTCCCTGACTGAACTAGCATAGGGTAGGTTTGTGTTAGGAGTCTTCAGTGGGTGGAGAAGGAGCTGCAGCTTTCCCAGCTAACATTGTTACGTGGGACTGGGCTTTGTCACAAAGAGAAAATGAACCAAGTTGTGTGAGTGGCCCAGGATTTGGGTGCAAACAGGCATGAGTTAAAAGCAACATCATACCTGTATTGGCAGTATTTTGAGAAGGGCAGTTACATATGTTTTTTCACATTGTTTAAAGCTTGCACGTGATGCATGTTGCTTCAGAGACTCTTATATCTGACTTTTTCATGAGAGGCTTACTGGTAGCTATATTCATCTCAATATGAATTTTTTTGATCTAAGAGTTTCAGATTTAGACAGTCTTTTTATTATTATTATTTGGGGGGGAGAATCTCCTCACAGATTGATAGCTATTTTGAAGTATCACTACCTCCCCCTCCCTCCTCTTCTGTTTTCATTTTGAAAAACTCCCTTGGGAGAAGTAGGGTATTTGGAAAATGCTTTCAATATCCTTCTTACTAGAAGAAAAAAAAATTATAAGCTACAGTAATGTAAATCCAAACATATCTTGAGATATTTTACTACAAAAATAATTATTCCATTATATCTTCCTTCTGATGTTTCCTAAATTTCAGACATGATTTTCATTCATTGCATAGGTACACTTACACTTTCTATTGTATCAGCATGTCTTCTTACTGGTTTAGCTTGTGCCATTTTTATAAGGTCTTCTGTCCTCACGAAGACCTGTATTTTTGTCCTATATTTACCTGCCTGGTGAGATGAGAGACATATCCTGATTTTTCATCTATGACGTGCACAAAAGGCTGTCTTTCCATTTGAGTATCTTGTTTAAGCACATAAGCAAATGCTTTGCTGACTTAGGGTCCTAACCAGGACAAAAGTTCTGTTATTTAACGTTTAAATGAAACTTGAAAAGGTTTTCTCACTACCCCCTATTTGTTTTTACTCTGATATATTTCCTTCTGTTGTCACTTGATTGTTAGTGAAACCTGGTGAATGGCATTGGGCTATGAATCTCTACTAGTGACCGAGCAAATAGTGGGACAGTTTCTTCCACCAAAGTCTGGAAAGCGCAGAGCATCTGTGATCCTGCCATAGCTAATGCAACCCAAGAATGCTTGGTTTGTTTTCAGACTGGAGATAAGGACCTTTTTATATTGTCATGCTTCTTAGAAGAATGGAAGCCAGAGCTTTTAGTAGAGTGATTAAATTTCCATAACTATTACAATAGTAAAAATTTGTCCCAGGTGGTATGTGTATGGTTAGTAATAAAGGTGAAAGTTGTGTGAGGAATGGAAATGATCCAATATAGATCTCTGCATATCTGAAGCATTCATGATTATTGGTATTGCAGAAGTGATTTTGGCACAGCTAAAGTGAATGGGTTATGCTATTTAGGCTGTATTAAATCTCAAATAATAATACTTGAGTGTATTTTCCAGGATCACAGAAAGGTTTGACCCTACAAATTGCTTCCATGTGAATCCTGTCTTTTTGTATTTGAAGCTTTGAAGCCTTTTTTCAAGTATTGTATCCCTTCAGTTTAGTTCTTTCCCCCAAGAGCCGGATACCCTTCCCAATTCAAATATTATTTTTTTCTTATTGCTTTTAATTTTTAGCCTTGTGTTTGTTTAGGACTCTAGAATTCAAGAAGTACATGAGAATATACTATGCAGAAATCAAAAATATTTGACAGCAGTACAGATTTTAATCACTGGCTTGACAATAAGATGTATTTAACAATAATTCAACTAAGAAAAGCAATAGAAAAAAATAGAACCTTTAATGACTTTTATGTGTCTAAGTATTTTCATATATTGTGTCTACTATAGCTAGTGAAATAGTTAATTGTATTGCAAGAAAAGGTGCAGTGAGCTTATAGATACAGGTGTGCTGACTGGCATTGATGTCAGCCAGCTCTGTTATGTTAATAATTTAAGGGAATTGACCAAAGCCATGCTTTAACTCCAGTCCTTTTAAAAAGTGCCATAGGATATTTTACATCAATCTGGATGCTGCCAAAAAGAGACAGATGGCACTAACCTTGGTTTAAAGCCTGGGCTGGCTGAGAATGTATCCAAACAGTGTTGCAAAGCTTTCAGTGTACATGTTGGGTAAACAGAAGAGGAGTCTTTGTATCACTGTAAGTAGAGCCCTCAGATTTTTTTGTTTTAAAGGTATCCAGTTATCCAGCCTGCTCAGTTAGTGGGTGGATTGCTTTGCTGTGTAGTAACAAGATGGTAGATGTCTTGATCTATTCAACATTTGCTAAGGAGAAGGCTGCTGTTGGTGTAGACAAAAACGTTTTGCAAGAGGTAATGGGAAGAAAGGAGGTTAAGTGCTGAACATGGGTATTACAACGGGCAGAGCTTCCGAAACACAGGCAGGATTGTTTGCAGCTCTGTGCTCAGGATTTTGAAGGAAAACAGATAAAAGCCTCTTGTACAAAAATGTCCCCTTCCTAGTATCCAGAATCTCACTTCTTGTGACTTCCATGCTAGGAGAAGAAGAGTTCTTAGTAAATAAATAAATGCACGGTGAAAAAAAAAAACAAAACAAACATTCAGAATTTAAAAAACAAACACTACATTCTGGGTTTGTTTTTAGAGTAAAATAATGTCATGAAAGCTCATGGTATTATCAAAATCATTACTAAATTAATTTAAAGCATTCAGATAGTGTATGTTGGGCAATATGTAAAACCAAAAGAAGAAATGAATGATCTGCTTAGGGTATGATTAGAATAGGACACTAACAGATTTTGTGCTTCTCATTGAGTAACGAAGATAACAGGATCAGTTCCTTGTAAAGAGTGGCCAAGCCAATCTGAACATTAAGTGCAATAGTAGACAGCAGGCAGGGAAAAGGACTGAATATAGAACAAGGTAATTAAAGAAAGTATCGTAGTGCAGGAACAGAGGTTGTCCTGGCAGTCTGTCTTCTATTTCCTATCTTTTGGTTCCCTTTGCAGCCATTGTAGTGCAGTTTGAGCATCTTCACTGTTTGTTTTGACATAATGATCTTGGGTAAACTGTGAATGTATAAATCTGGACTGGGATTCAGAGACTAAGGGCTCTGCTGCATGTGTAATCCTGCCAATGCCAAAAGGAGATTTGAATGGCTGTACTTAGTAGGCTATCTGTTTGATATGTTGTTGCAGCAAGCATACAAATATCTCAAAGACCTATGGTAATCTGTGCTATGCAAGTAATTTATTGAAGTAATTTTGGGACATTATCAACTGAACTGTTGATAGGGATTGCACTTTTTCTGAGGGAATTAAATGGATTGGGTATTATCTTGTTGTGTTTATGGTGGTTAGAACCAAAATGCAACAGGTTATGTGGGGATTTGATTTAGGTGTCTAATCTTTCTATGGCTTGACATTTAAAATCATCAGTGAAAACAGTATACTGATGTCCAGTAACCTTCAGATATAAATAGATTATTTTACTTTGTTTAAAATTGTATTTAAATGCTGGGTATGGACACCGAGGATGGAGTTTATGGTAATTCTGTTTACATCACAGTAGTGACGAAATTATTTTGCTGCTTTCAATGTGGATTTGTTTTAGTGAGGATTGTATTGGTTTGCATTTTGTGGACGTGTTCTTGTTTTCTATTTTAATGTAAATCTCTGAAAAATAGATGAGCAAAACCTGTTTTTTATCACAGCATTTTAATAAAGATTTCTTTAAGTATCCAAGCCCAGATTGTAGAATTGCTCTTCATGCAACATGCTGTTTTGTTAAATAATCCACTAGAGCACATAAATCAAAAGTGTGTGATACAATAGTAAGGATGTAAGAAATTCTTAGGGGCAAATAAAAAGCTTTTGCAAATTGGGTCCTAGAAGAAAGCAAGCTGATAGTTCTACCAGGTACCCCTCCTAGGGGCAGACTTAACACTTGTTAGAGAATTTGTCTTGAAAACGCCAGTGTTTGAAGTAAAAAATTTGCAAAATTTGCTTGAGAAACAAAACAGATTGTGTGTTGAAAGACTGAGCTGCTAGCAAAATACTCTATCATGTCAAATTTATACAAACCCATCTCCTGTGTATTGCACCATGTCCTAGAAAACTGGAAACCATGAAAACAAGTGCTTATATTTTAAGGAGTTCTGCGACAGCTTATAAAAAATAGCTTTTTCACTTTTTACATGAGGCTTCCACCTTAAAGAAACTGATGAAATAGGTGGTAATTTTTAACACAAGCAGTGACAAAATAAACACCATCTGCTAGTGTTGACTTATCCCATAGTATTCTCATGCTGGGTGATTTTATTTCACTTTTTTTCAGAAATAGTTAATGACACATCTGCTGTGCGGTGGAGGTGCATTTTGGGTGATTAAATGTGGACATAACTTCAGGGAAAACGATAATGAAACTTTCAAGAAACTGAAGGAAATACTAAACTACTCAAAAGAACTCATGAAATATATAGCTATGTTGAGTCCTTCCTTTTTAAAATCTTATTCTTGGATCTAAAAGCATGTATTTATTCTTTCAAAATACCTGGTTATCCGTGAAAACTTCTCACTTGCTATTATCACAGCAAACATTTTTCCACAATTTGGTTCCTAGTCCTCTAAACAAGCTTAGTTTTCTGCCAGGTCTGAGAACCTGGGGCTGTGAAGACAGAGCAGGTTCAGGTGTCGTGGGGGATCAGCGTCATGTTTGTGTACGTGGGAGAAAGTACTGAAGGGAGCAAAACATAGTGTAGT